GGAGGAGACGAGTCAGTCAGGGTGCAGTGTAGCAACGATGAAACATACAACTTTCCTCTAGTTCTTGAATGCTTCCTCCCCCCCTCCCCACTTTCATGATTCCAATTCCACATCATGGGTTTTACTACTATTGGAACCATCCATTAAATGGGTGTACCATAATTGTAAGTAACGCTTTTCCTATTCTAGAACACAATCTGTTTCCAAGGTCCTTCTAGTAAAAGTGGTGCTGCAGCAACAATGGTGAGGTTCGCTTCCCTGCCTCTGTCACAATTGTGCTTTAGCATCACTGTGTCACCTCTCTGATCAAAACAAAACAAAAACTCACTGCTGTCTGCGATCAAGGCAATGCCCACACTCAGAGTGACCCCACAGGGCAGGGTAGAACGGACTGTGCATTCCAAGACTGTCCACTCTTCACGGGAGTAGAAATACTCATCTTTCTCCCCACCTCTCTGACAAGAGTTTATTCGTAAAATGGGGGAAATGATGACCATGCTTCATTGACTTGGTACCATCATTACATGATAAAGCATTTGAAGCACACTGTAAACTGTTATTGTTATAGGCCAGGTCTTTATTTACTGAGTTGCTATTGTCAGCTGCCATTAAATTTGAATCACAGGGACTCTGCCTATCACAGAGCAGAACACTGCTGGGTCCGGTGAGTAAAGGTTGCCAGAAATAAAAGAACTGGGTCAAACAAACATAGTGATCATTTTTTTAAACTTATCATTCTTGAAACAAATGTTAAGATACCTCACGGCCTCTGAGTCAATCCTGACTCATCTCTCTCCCAGGGAGCAGTTGCTAAGTTCAAACTGCTGACTTTTTGGTTACCAGCTCCATACATAACCCACTAAGCCAGCCGGGCTCCATCTACTAACCTTGAAGTGATAGTTTTACTGTATAAGAACTAAAAATATTTTGGAGTCATTTTAAATGCTTAGAATATCATGATAAAGGGAAAAATCAACCGGTTATTGTTTTAATGTATAAAATAATGTAGTTACTACTTTTGAACCTATTTTCAATTACCAATATTTAGTATAAGTTACTATTTGATGTTTTATTTCCCCTTAGGATCATTCACTTCTATGCTTTCAATTTTATTGAAATTTTGAATAAGTGTATTATTGCTTCCCTTTCTCTAACATATAACCAAATTTAAAAATTGGAAATCCTAGTGCATACAGCTATAATATAAAATTATAGAGAACACTTACTGTAAGTACACATGCAATCTTCTTGGCTACAGACGGAGTAATTTGAAAAGCATGAGCATACTGCCAGCCTTCCAGATCAAAGATAGCTTTGACACCATTGCGTTGAGTTTCTACATCCTGGACAATGAGCTCCGAGGTGATCAGACTTAAGCGAAATGCCTCATAAGCTGTGAAAACTTTTGGGTCCCAGTGTGCTAAGGGAAACAAAGAATAGCAAGTCAACCTCGTCTAGAGACTCCGAAAGCTCTGCAAATGAACACAAGTGATTTCTTAGACGTAAAGGCTTAGTAGAAATGATAAAGGCTACAAAGATCGTGGATATTGAGTATTAGGTCAAACTGGCAATGCCAGGTGCCTGTGTCTTCCTGTTGTTTTCGTTGCTGACTGAGGTGGAGACCACCTCATTGTTCCCACGTTCAACTGCTCCCTATAGTGTTCTTGCCTGTGATGATTATAGGGCTTTCTGGGTGGCACAAACAGTTAAGCTCTTCACCACTTAATTATCAATGTTGGTGGCTTAAGTCCACCCAACAGGGACTGGCAGTCTGCTTCCAAAAGGTCCCAGCCTTGAATCAGTCTCTTCTTTGCACGTATGGACTCATCCATTATGAGTCACAAATGATTCCATGGCAACCAACACCAACTTCACAAAAGTCCATCATCCAGCCTCTCCTCTGTGGAGTTGCTGGGGGTGTGTCCTCAGCCCACTGCACGCTGTGCCACACAGGTTCTTGTTTCTCCCTCCAGAAAAACCAACCTCACTCACTACCAGAGTCAGGGCCAGGGTAGAATTGCCCCTGAACAGTCCCATGCATAACCACAATGCTACCAGGGGCTCCTTCGGTTTCTCCCTACTTTCTCAAACTCCTAGAAAAGGACATATTTTCTTGAGTGTGGGGAAATGAAGATGGATGCAGGCCAAACTTGATTGCCGGATGAAATCCCAGCACAAACATGCCAGAGAGGACTAGAACAAAAGAAAAGAACGTTTGGAAACTGATTGTGGTAGCAGTTGTAAAATACTGCTTGATGTGATAGATGCCTTAACTACTAACAAAAAATAATAATTTTTTTTAAGAATTAAAAAAAAAGATAGGGTTGCCTTTTAGTATGGTCCAAGCTTAGAAGTGTTGGCAACAGGACAGGAAAGGGGCTGAATTATGAAAAGGTACCAGAACCCTATCCAAGAATTTGCCATGAGGAAATACATGAGGAACAGACAGGCCATTGGAACAGTCTGACACTTCATCAGTGACAATCAGCACATAATGGAGCCATCTGCCCACAGGCTGGAATCATAGGTGTGGTCTTAGGACAAAGGCCCACCAGGTGACAGCACACACCCAAGAGAAACAGGAAGTACCTGTGCTAAGAAAAGATGTTACTGGTATTCTTATCTGCACATCGCATTCTTGCCCCACTATCCCTGAAGCATGCCATGGCCTGCAGAAATGGACTGACATCTTTTAAAAGGAAATGCATTCATTAAGAATCTTAATATACCTCAAGCAAAAAACAAACAATGAAAAAACTCAACTTGGTCCCAAGAAACAGCTGATGGACTTGAACCATTATTCTTGTGGTTAGCCAGTTACTATCAAGGAGGAGTGGTGGGGGGTGAGGGGTAGTTAACTGACACTTTATTTTCTTAACTGTGGATTAGGTATTAGGTGGAGGAATTTACATTTTAGACAATCAATGCTATATTCAACAGTTCAAACCACTGGTGCCCTCTGATTTCTGGGTTCCCTCTTTTGGACCTCCAACCTTGCCCTTATTCCTGGGGGAACCTCCAATGTTTGCTTGCTTTGATATGCAGGTCTTTTTCTTATGTTTTATCCTTATAGTAGTGTTCTCATGAAAGATTTGTCCTTTTGTGATTGACTAACTTCACGCAGCATAATGTTCTCCAGGTCCATCTATGTCATGAGGGTTTTCATGGTTTCAGTATTGTTTTTTAGCATTGCATAGTATTCCATTGTGTGTGTACAAGTTTCTTTATCCTGTCTTCTAGATGGCTATATGGGCTGTGTCCAACATCTTGCTATTGTGAACAGTGCTTCAATAAACATGGGAGTACACATGTCTGTTCATGTTATGGCTCTTATTTCTCTAAAGGATATAATTAGCACAGGTTTTATTGCATCATATGGAATCTCAATTCCCAGATGTTTGAATTGTCATATTGCTTTCTACAATAGTTGTACATATTTACAGGCTCACCCTTTCCAGAATCTGTTGTTTTCTGAGATTTTGAATTGGACTGTCATTGTCAGTATAAGGTGATATCTCATCACTGCTTTTATTTGCATCTCCTGGATGGTTAGTTACATTTTCCCATGTTAGTTAGCTATTTGGGTGAACTGCTGATTCGTGTTCTTTGCTTAGTTGTTAATTGGAATATTCGTTTTATTTTTCTCTGACTGAGGTATTGCAGTGTGCTTTAGATTTTAGAGATTTGTCCCTTGTCCATTGTATTGTTGCTAAAGATTTCCCCCAATCCATAAGTTCTCTTTGTATCCTTTTGGTGAAGTATTCTGATACACATAAGTGTCTTATTTTTGGTAGGTCCCATTCATCTATTTTGTCATTTACTGTGTGTACTTATTATATTTTGCAGTATGTCTATTCCTTGCAAAAGCACTCTGGAGCTTGCCCCTTTTGTTACATTGATGATCTTTATAGTTCTGGGCTTTCGTTCAAGTCTTCGATTTATCTTGAGTTCGTTTTTGTACATGGGGTGAGTATGTGTCCTGCTTCATTCTTTAGCAGGTGAGGTCCAATTTTTCCATTTTGCCAATTTTCACTATTTGTTGAAGAGATTACAGTATCTCCCATTTAATGTTTTTTGACACTCTGTTGAAGATCAAATGTCTGTAGGTGGATGGATTATTTCTGGGATTTCTCTTCTGTTTCACTGGTCTATGTGTCTATCAATATACCAGTACCAGCCTTTTTTTTTTTAACTACCATGGGTCTATTCTGGGTTTGAGGTCTGAGAGATCTCCTTTGTTATTTTTCTTAAGAAGTTCTTTGCTTATCCTGGGTGTCTTCGCAATTCATATAAAGCTAGTTATTACTTTTTTGTTTTGTTTTGTTTTAAAGAATAAAGTTGAAATTGAAATTGCATTGTATCAAAATTTCATTGTATTTATAGATTGTTTTAGGCAGTATTGGCATTTTCACAATGTTAAACCTTTCTATCCATGAACATGGACTATTGTTCCATTTATATAGGTCTGTCCTGTTTTCTTGTCATTGTGTTCTGTAGAGTTCTTTGTACAAGTCTTTTGTTGGGTTTATTCCTAAGTAGTCCATCTTTTGTACAGTGATTGCAAAAGGTACTGCTTTTTCAATTTCCTTTTCAGAACTTTCTTCATCAGTATACAGGAATCTGATTGATTTTTTGTGTGCTAACCTTATATCCGACCATGGTGCAAAATCTTTCCATTGTTTCCAATAATTTTTTAAATCAAGTATTTGGGCTTTTATCCATATAAAATTATATCATATGCAAATAGTGAGATTTTTCACTTCTCTCCCCATTTGAGTACCTTTGATTGTTGTTTGTTGTGTAGTGGTTCTGGGTAAGACTTCCTATGCATTGTTCAATAAGGATAATGATAAGAAGGTTCCTTGTCTGGTTCCTGTTTGCAGGAGGAATGCTTTCAATTTTTGCCAATTAAGCAAAATGTTATCTGTCAAATTTTCATATATGGCTTTTATTGTGTTGAGAAATTTACCTCTGTTCCTATTCTGTTGAGTGTTTTTTATCAGAAATGGATGTTCATATTGTTAAATGCCTTTTCTTCATCAATTGATATGATCATGTGGTTCGTATTTTTAGTTTGGTGGATTACACGGATTCTTTTCTAATATTGACCCATCCTATGTAAATCATGGTGTGTTTTATTGAGATTATAATTCAGTGTAAGCTCAAAATCCATTCCTATATCTATGGTTTATATATGTCTCTGGTTCATCTTAGAGACATCATTGATATTATCAATCATCCCTCTGGGACATAAGGTAATTCTATTGATAGTGTCATTAATTAAACTAAAGGTATAGAATTGAAAACACTGTTGAAAAAAAGGGACATTATATAAGTATAGACTGACTACCATCTGCAATGCGTGAATTGTTGACTAGTACAAATTAAACTCTTAGGTGACTGGACACTATTTACACAAATCAGGGGAGCTGGTGATTGGGCAAAGCTTTCTATAATATTCATTGATAGCAGAAGAACCAGGCGTACCAGATTAATACATGTAATAATAAAGCAAGGAGCTATTAATTATATGGTAGTTCCAGGCTACCATTAATTGGGCATCCTTAAGGTAAGAGATCCAAACCAAATTCCAATGACTGCCAGTTCTATACCCTAGAGATAGCAGTTATCTGATTCTTCTCACACAAGAGAGTTTTGGCCTTAACTCCAAGGGTTACAAGTGCGTTCATTTAGTGAGATTTCCACATGGAGTCTTTCTGGTGTGGCCTATGAAGGATGTAAGGTGCCTCAAAAAAAAAATTTTTTTTTCTAAAGTCCCAGTATGTTTACTAAGGTTATGTCTTCTTGTTCTATTATTCCTTTAATCATTATGTAATGTCCTTTTTGTCTGTCATGATTTTTTTTTGTCTTGGATTCTAATTTTTTGGAGATTAGTATTGCCACTTCTGATTTTTTTTCCTTTTTCTTCTTGGTTGCCTTAAGTTTGATAAAAATTTTCCCCCTTGAATTTCAGACTACTTTTGTTCTGGCCTCAATGTATTTCTTGTAGCAGCGTATTGATGGGTGTTGTTTTCTTATCTACTCTCTGTCTCTTGACTGGTGCTTTTAACATTCAATATCATATTGATATGTGTGAGGTTTTGCTGTCATTTGGGGGGGTGTAGGGTTTTATTGGTTTCTTTTTCCTTCCTATATTTCTGTGTTATTTTTAGTACTGTTTTCATTGTATCGATTTCTGCGTAGTAGTGTCTTGCATGTTGCTCTAAGATTTGTCTGCTTTTGTTGTTGATTCTCTGTGAAAAATGTTCCCTTCAGTGCTTTTCGTAATGTTTATCTTGGTTTTACAAATTACTTAATTTCTCCTTGTCTAGAAATAAATGTATTTCTCCCTTATACTTGAGGGCTAGATTTGCTCGATGTAAGATTCTGGTTTGGCATTTTTTCTTCTTCTTTCGCGGT